AAGACCTTTGACCAGCACTTTTCTAATTTTGTCCGGAAGATTTAAACTTTAACGGACATGTTGGCCGGAGAAAAAAAATCGAACTGAAACTCTGCCGCACGGTCCCCTCGTTCCTTGGAAGAGGCGGAGAGGTGGGTGTTTGTCATCTGCTGGTGGGCTAACCGGAGAGAATTACAGCGAGGGAGGGATTGCATTGAATTACAGCAGCAGGAGCAAACGCTTGCCTCGGGGAGGGAGAAAAAGAGCCACAGCGGGCAAAACCATGAAGGGCAACCATGGCAACCATGGGCGGGAAGTCTTCTTCGCTGCTTTTGTGGCAGACTACAGCGTCACTTAAAGGCCTGGCATATGTACTACAGCGTCTCCAGCGCTTTCGAGCGGCAATGGCCGTGGCCGTGTCCCAACCCCCCCATTCCCCTGATAGGTGGAGAGTTGCCCATATAAGCGGAGCACCCCTTTTCTGACGTCAGAAAAATTAACGTCTGTATCAGATCCGTTGCAGCCCCGTTTTTAGAGATTTGGGTATGGAGGAAAAGAGAGACGGTTGTGTTTTCTGAAACTTGGTGAGTTCCCTGGAACACCGGGGACACATATTCATGTATAAAAGACGTACAAAAGTGCATTTTGCATGATAGGTCCCCTTTAAGTTTCACTTTCGATTGCATGATATAGCCCAGCGCAACACCTACCATTTTCTGGCGGTTTGTAATCTGTTCTTGAAAAACGATGTGTTTTTTAGGATTTCAAGAAGCATATAGAACAAACAATGGATGTATTTTATGAACATTTATCCATGCTGAAAGTAGATTTAGATGTTTTAGGAGTGAGATAGAGATTATTATCTAATATATGCATCCGATGAAGCATTGCATGAAGTCTGTTGATGATCAGAGGCTGTTGTTGGGGCTGCATAAACGTTTTTTTATTTTTTGTTTTGTAGACAGACCATGCAGGCCTCAGAGAGTTAAACTTGGGCCTGCGACCATAGTTTTATTGTATTTTGTTTTGAAAATCCAAAGCGGAGGTTTGTGTCGTACTACATGCGGTGTATTTTGCATATCTCTCAGTAGCCAACAATCTGTGAGTCTGTTGGCTCGGCTCGGACATAAACTCCGTAATAAATGTAGTCTACATTTCATAAGAGGTGTAAAACTTATAATCTGTAGTTGTATTTGTATTGTTGATTTATTGTGTGAATGAGGCGATATAGAGAAGGTTAAGCTGTCATTATTAGGCTGTTATGTACTGTTGGAGTGGTAAGCAGGCCTATTGGTTTTGGATATTTGTGGAGTTAGGTGGTCCGTGAATGTTTTTTATTGGTTAAGTGGTCCTTGGTATGAAAAAGTTTGAGAAACACTGCGCCAGTGGATTGTCAACGGGGGGAGCCTCGCTGCAGGGAAATTATACAGATGGCTAGTCCGCCCCTGAAAAATGTTTATGCAAAAAAATTTAATTGATTAAAAACATTGATAAAAAAAAGATATTAATTTGTTTTAATTTTCATTTTGTAATCATCTTGCGACCCCCACTCCATCCAAGGAAGATCCGAGTATTTCTGTACTGAAGAGGGAGGTCATTTTGGCTTCATGCGCCACTGAGCAACCTTCATAGGAATGAACGGGGTCCCGCCTCGAACGCTGTATCCACTTCTCTTTATACATCCATTTATGAGCAGATATTTATGGGAGGAGGATGAGATCCAGTCTTTAAGTGCCTAGTTTCTATTGACAACGACACTGTATTCTACATGTTCCATGATGCAACTCCATAATATTTTTTATCAGACCCAACCTCCTGGCTCATTCCTTCCAAAAACCATTGGTTGCTTTGTGACAGTTTGTTGTGTATATGTTGATAAGAATGTTCTGATCTATAAGACACGGTTTTAAGTATAATGTATGGTTTGAAGTCTGTGAATGTGATTCCTTCGGGATTTATGAATGAAACTGGTAGACTGGTAAAGAAAATGGACTCAGATGATGTAATACAAGTTGGATGGATTTAGAGTAGAGACAGTTAAGGAAATAAAAACATAGGGGACGCTTATCTTATCTTTAAAAGTATCAGGCAAATACATAATATCATCTTGCTTGCACATTGTAGTGAGGTATTCTTAGCATTCAAAGAAGACCCACATACTGTATCACATATGAAATGCAATGTAATAATGTAATATCCTCATATGGAGCTGAACTTCTCTTGATCATTGTAAATGCTAGGTCCAGCACTGACCTCCAGGGGGTGGGGGGCCTTGATATCCACACTGACCAAAGTCCAGCCAGCTGTAGCAAACACCTCGGGCCTCCACATGTCCTCGTAGTGTCCCAGCTGGTCTCTGGTGAACAGTGAGAAGATGTTCCCCCTCTCCTGGTCTCTGTTGTAGTAGAAGGACAGGCAGCCGGCCAGGGGCACCGTGGTCATGGGGGAGCTCAGCTTGGCTACTTCCTGGAAGTGCTTGGCATACACAGAGTCCACATACATGTAGTGTCCTGGAGCAGGGGAGAGAGAGATGAGCTGAGGGACACAGTTATGGGAGGTTCATTTACAGGACATGTGTGTTGTTACGCTTTGTGATGTAACGCTGACTCATGTATACAGGTATTCATACTCATATAATGCAATGAGCATGAGGTGGTGCAGGAATGAGTCTGAACCCCGGAAATGAATTAACATTAACATTAATTAACATTAATTAACCTCTACTTAAAGTAGGGCTGTACCCGAATCTTCGAATATTCGTTCGTTGGAGTACTACTCGGGTTTCAATTTCGTTATTCAGATATTCTTTTTTTTTCTCGAATTTATTGAAAACTCCAATATCAACGTAAGAGCTTGTGCCTCTTCGGGGGTGCTAACACTTAACTATACACTTTATCGTTTACTTTCTCCGTCTTTATATGTAGATATTACTTTTTCTCCGTTAATCTCCGTCACGTTGTTTCCATAGCAACAACAACTTCCTGTCAACAGCGCTAACTCTCCTTCAAAATAAAAGCATGTCCATACAAAATAGGAAGCCAAGCCAAATTACACTTAAGATGTATACAACTGCAACGAAAGTAACAAATACAATGCAATATCCTTTTCAATTTCAAAGAACACAAATTGGGTTGTTGTATACTATAAAACAACAATACTGTAGAATAACAAAAATGAATGCCGTGAATAAACCGAAATACACGTGTTGAAGCGGTTCGCTGCTGATTACTACGCACCCCTCCGCGCGGGCCGAATATTCGCTGCTGATTACTACCGAATATCCGGAACCCGAAAAATTGTATTCGGGACAGCCCTAACTTGAAGTGGATAGATTATGGATGAGATTTTGGTTTGATTCCCTAAATAAGGTCCAAGGTGTTCTGTTCTACAGCATTAAACAACCCACGGGAATGTCTTAAGCTTTTTTGTGTATTAAAAAATTGCGATTGCGCACTAAATGAGGCTATTAAAGTAATCAAACCGAATATTAGCCGCCATTATGCGAAAGCACGTAACCACAATGTAGTTCCTTTGTAGCGTAACATTAGCTTTTCACTTCTGGCGATTTGCATAGTTAATATGTGGAGATTATCGTGCTGAACAAAAGGTGTAAGTATCATAAACATGTGTTGCCATAGAGCTTATTTTCTGCGACATTGAAAAATCCAACAGAAAAATGTCATTGCTTGTAGTCGAGGGAGCCCTTGCTATGCTAACTTCCGGGTCAGCCTACAAAAATACGTAATCACTGCATCACTCTATTCTAATCACTCTATAACTATGACCATGTTGTCGCCTTTAAACATATAATGCAGAGTCGGTTAACCTGGAATTTTGTATCCATACCAAATCAAAAAGCAGTTCATTTCATTGACTAGCACAGCTCCAGGATTACAGATGCTGCCTTCACAACCATAAATCCATGTGAACTGACTGTCAAACTACAGAGCATTTATATGCATCTGGATCCAGATTTTTTTAAATAGGTACACCATGAACTGTTAAAGGTGGGAATACAAGAGAGGATGTTGAACAGGACAGTGATCTGTATAAAGTCTAGACTAGAGGACTCAAGGATTCAAAGGCTTTATTTGGAATATGCACAATAGCTACAGCCTAGTTTTGGCAATGAATCTGACGGAAATTAAATCTAAAGCCTCATGCTCCCACAACAATGCAACATATTATATACCTAACATAAAAGTAAAATAAACAAATTGTGGAATAAAGTAGAGCAAAGACAAAATGATTTAAGTAGGTTGACTTAAGTCTAAGACAGTGAGTTGACGGTGAATCTCCTTTGGAATTGAAGGCCTGCAGGTGCAGAAAGCAGCGAGTGGGCCAGCAGTCATACCTCAGTACATTCCAGAATACTGCAGTAATAAGCAGTTAGGAGCCGCAGATGCAAACAGCTGACCACAGTAGAGAGAAAAGGAGGCTGTATGTTAAGCCATACTTTGGCAGAATGTGTTTGGAGAGTTTGGAATGTACAGATCATAGAAATGGACAGAAGTGGAATGTCTGGAAGTAATGGTTTGAAAAGTTTCTATGGATATTATTTATATTTCTAAACTGCAGTATGTGCTCATGTGTTGCATTGCTAGTGAATAAGCTACTGCCTGAATATAATGAAAGGCAGGTTTTCCAATCAATAAAATCTCTGAGCAGAGGACACATTTCCATCCATCCATCCATCTTCTCCCGCTTATCCGTGGTCGGGTCGCGGAGGTAGCAGTTCCAGCAGAGAGCCCCAAACTTTCTTTTCCCTGGCCACATCAACCAGCTCTGACTGGGGGATCCCAAGGCGCCCCCAGGCCAGCGAAGAGATATAATCCCTCCATCCCCTCAAGTTCATAGGAGCCCCAGAACAAGTAGCTTCACTCCCCCTTGTTACCTCGCACTCTACCCAAGCCCCTCTTAGCCGTCGTCGCCCCCCCTCGTCCAATGACGTCAGAGAAATGTTGGCGTGGCAACACTGCTTTCCCCCCGCGCTCGGGTCTTCCGTTTCGAGAGGAGACAGAATGGCGCGGGTAAAAGCCAAGGTATGGGAGTGGAGACCAGGTACTCCTACCCAGTACTGGCTTTTCTTTGCTCTAGCGCCATGTCGTCCGGCTCTACCCAAAAAGAGGCGTCCACCGACCACAGGAGGGGAATACCCTAATCCACTTTCAAAGCCAGGTAGGTCCCTCCCTGAGCCTAAACTCGGCGAAGGAGGAAGCGCAGCTTTCCTCGGTCAACTCCACCAAGCCCGTGGATTCCAATCCTACGGGGACCCCGCGGAGGGATCCCTCCACAAGGTCCGTGCAGGTCGACCCCTCTCTGGGTCCCCATCCTGCTCTTTGGT